AAATTCCCTAAAAGCTCCTTTGTGCTTTCTCCCATGCTGGCCCTCATGCTTGGGAGGATCACCCCATAAACATCTGCAAAATTACCACATTCTCCGCCTTCAAAACCCGCCTTTGTTATGACTCCTACATAACACCTGACAACAGTTAGGCTGTTGGTGTGCTGAGACCTCTGCCTATCGTGCTGACCAATACTGTCTCATTGTTTCCTTGTATTCCCCCATTGGGCTGTCTGTACCCATCTCTTGTCTCTTATGTTATGCTTAGATTGTATTCCCCTTGGGGCAGGGACCATTTTTGTTCTGTGTTTGTACAGCACCTAGCACAATCAGGTCCTGGTCCATGACAGAGGGATCCAGGTGCTATGTTAACACAAATAATAATAAATGAACAATCCAAGCAAATTCATTTTTAAATGCAAGGAAACGGTCATGGTGAATTCTTTTCATTATCTGCCCAGCTTTAGAATCCAAGAACCGAGGGGGGCGGGGGGAGTAAGAGACACTTTTGCCCCATCCTCTCCGCCATGACAGAGAGGCAGCTGGGCCAAATCCGAATGGCACTGGGACTTCATACACTAGGTCACAATGCCCAGAGCAGGGAGCAGGACCCAGCCTCATGGGACACTGTTGCTGCAGGGTGCACTCTCCCTACCATTCTTCCTCCCCTCTCCCCCCCCCCCCGACCCCGTGGTAATTTTTTTGAAGAGTGGGAGGAGCTCATTTTCAGATTTTGACGCACGTCCCCTAAAAGCTCTGTGTGGCCCTGCTAGAATCAAATCAAAGAACCACTGAAACCAAAGTCACTGCCAACCACCGATGTCACTGAAGTTGTGCTCACCTACACTAGCAGTGAAGTTTTGGTTCATTTTGGAGTGCACAGGTGAAATATATAATACCCAGCAATGGATCCTATAACAAACATGACTCATGAATAAGGAACAAACATTAATAGAGCTCATCCAACCTTCTAATGATCAGAACAGAGCTGCTGTTTATGACAACTGACTTGTGAAACTCATGTAACCAGGCTTTTCCTGGTTCAGCACTACTTCCTTAGTAAGCACACACAGAGACCATATTTCCCCTAAACAGAGACAGAGAAACAAGGTGACAGAAAGAAAAGGCAATGGCTACCTCCCAGAGACCATATCTCCCCTAAATCAGGTGAGAGTTAAATTTTTCATGTAAACATTTTATTTATTCTGCTCAAACTTTTCTTTACATGACAACCTTAGACATAGAGGGGAAGAAAAGGAAACACTTTTCTGAATCTGATTCATTTAGAGTTACTGGTAAATGTTTCCAGTTCTGTGATATTTTGCCTTTTACAGTTGCCAGGGAAATACTTTCAGCTGTTTTTGAAATTTTGAGGAATAACAGGATACTTTTTTCTCTCCCTCTCATATGAGCTCACTGAGAGGCAGGGACTTAATCTACTTGCTATGAGTCTGAAAAAAGTTGTTCTCGGTTTGGATTAGAAGTAATACTATTAACACAAGATTGCCACAAATGCAAGATTCTTGAAATGTGGCTGTGCACAGAAAGTGCTTCAAAGCTCCTGCTGGTTCAGATATAGTACCATGAAAATATGTCTCTTCACTTTTTTCTTGGTGTTCACAGGAAACTTGCTAGAGATATTTAGTATTCACTTTGTCCAACACAGGTTTTACCCTCCACTTCTTTTGAGGTTTTACTGTTAAAAAGCGGAAGTGACATGTCTGTTCTGTGAGATGCCACTACATATTTACAATATTTTTCCTTCATCAGTGCATGATTTTGGAGAAGAAAATGAAATACCCCAAGCAGAACTGAAGAAAGTAAATTGACCATTAAGAAAAAGTATGTATTTGTGACTTTGCCAGCTAGAAGAGAGGAGTTGCCTCTCTGAAAGGCGTTGTTTGCTGCAAGTGATAAGCTGTTTTGCTGATAAGAATCAATTTTCATTTCATTTAATGAAATGAAATTTTCTTATATTGGTGTGGGGAATAAGTTGAATTGCTAGGTACAGTAACTATAATACAATGGCTAAATCTGTATGCTCCTGTCTCCTGCTTGTGGCTGCCTGCATATAAGGTATGTGTCTGTTATCACCATTAGCCAGTGGAGTTGCTCCTTCAGATCAATGGGTGGCGGTCTGTGCTTTTGGTCCAGAAACATCATAAGTTCTATCACAACTGATGACCATGGTAGGGAGCTCATTACATAAAGCCAGCTCATTTCATGCACTTTACAGAGAAACATAATAGTACTGAATACCGCTGTTTGAAAAATGGAATTTTCCTTTCACAGGACATTTTCACAATTCAAAATTACTTTCCATTCCAAACTGGAGCCAAAAGTCAAAATGTCAGAATTTTTCACAAAAAATGAAGAATTCTGAAAAGTTTCAAATTGGAAATGTCAAAACAGAAAATTAGGACATTTTCAATCAAAATGAAATGATTTGATGTAAAATTATTCTTTCAACTTAATGCTTCAAAATGAAAAAAATTTCATTCCAAAATGTTGATTTGAAACAAAGCAAAATAATTAGACTGAATTTCAGTGTAAAGGTTTGTTTACACTGTACACTCCTCATGGCAGCGAGTCGAGTACATATGCTGCAAGCTCCCCCCAGCACAGGCATAAATAGTAGTGTAGATGGTGAGACACTGCTTAGGTGAGTAGAGACACTAGAACCTTAGGGTATGTCTACACTGCAATTAAACACCTGCAGCTGGTCCGTGTCAGCTGACTCAGGCTCATGGGGCTCGGGCAATGGAGCTGTTTAACTGCAGTATAGATGTCTGGGCTCAGACTGGAGCCTGGGCTCTGGGACCGTCCCACCTCACAAGGTCCCAAAGCCCAGCTCCAGCCTGAACCTTAACATCTATACCTCAATTAAACAGCCCCACAGCCTGATCCCCTAGAGAGTCAGCTGACACAGGCCAGCCATGGGTGTTTAATTGTGGTGTAGACACACCCTTAGAGTGTGTACCCTCCGTGGTTCTCTACACCCCAAGCAGTGCCTCACCCATCTGCACTATGATAAACCAGAATTATTTTTCCAAAGAAGCTGATTAGAATAAAGGTCAAAGACAAAGGCAGTGAAAATGCAGCATTCTTTTGTGTATACGTAAGTTTACATACTAGAATTCCTTGTTCTACAGTACAAGGGAAATATACTTAACCACACTGAGAGCAAGCATTTGTTTATCTAGTTCAGTATCCTCTCCCCACAACTGAGATCACAGAGGACAGCAAAGTTAAGCAACACAAACTAGTATATGTATGTATTCTGTTCTGCAACACTTATGTGCAACACCTTGCAGTGCAAGAGGCTGCACCCACTTCCACCAAAGATATTTACATGAAGACGAACATACGTGCAACAGAGGCCACTCTAGCTATAGACAAATGAGGAAACAGCCTAGGGCAGCAGATTTCTGGGCAGCTCTCTAGGGTGGCAGATTTGGTCCAGCTGGCCCTCCATCATAAGAGAGAAACAGCTAGGCCAAATCTGAGTGGCATTGCAACCCAGGGGGCCCAGTCACAACACCACTCACTTAAATTTGCCCTGGCTGCCCTTCTGTCATGATGGAGGAGCATCTGGGCCAAATCTACTGTCCTAGGAGGGGGCAAGCACACTGAAGTTTTGCCAAGGGCAGCAGACTGTCTTGAGCAGCCTCTGACAAGCAGCCACATTAGCTAGGAAATCAGGCAAAAGGTCTGGGGTATATGGGTCCTTGTGTTTCAGGGCATAAAGGGATTACATGTGGGGATAAGAAAGGAACACCCCTCCCTCCCACAATACAGAACAACAGGATAAATGCATGTGCTTTGCTTTTGCACTGTTTGGGGTTTTTTTTTGTCTTCTTCCTGATGGAGAATTTGGCCAGACTGTACATAGCAGCAATGACTTCCTGCAGCAGTGAGATAGCAGTGTCTATATGCAGTGTATAAAAATACTACGTTACCTTCTATCTGTTTAGCAGGTCTCCCAGATTATTTCATTGTGTCTTCTGTTTTCTGTGTCATGGCCCTAGATGGGGAGGCACAACCAGTTGTTTTTCACTCAAGTTATGATTGTATAGAATGCTGGTATGTCCATTGTTAATTATTTATTAATTAATTATTAATTATTTACTTATTATTTATTATTATTATTGCAGTAGATCCCAAAATGTGGTAGACTCTTACCAAACACAAAAGACAACACGGTCAGATTCACTTCTTAATGAGCAGGGATGCAAATTGCACCCTACTGAACTCATGGGACGAATGTACTGGAGGGGAAATTTACTCCCTGAGGGGGACAAGTGGCAGAACTGCCACCATCCTCCTCTGGGACTCTGGGAAAGACAGTCTTAGATTCCAGCTGGGAGGAGCACTGCTAGTGGAGCATCCCCGGAAATGCATAATCCCAGTAATCAGCATATTTGTGATTATAATTATCTATTTATTTGTACTTGTATTACCGTAGCACCTAGGAGCTCTAGTCATAGATCAGGACCCCATTGTGCGATGGGCCGTACTGGTCTGCTCCCTTCCATGATGGCCCTGCCCACATTTTTGGGCTGCTGCAAAGAGGAAGGTTGGGGGTGGCTTGTGCAGCTGGACCCCTGCTCCTCATAGACCTTGCACTACCAGTTGCTTTATTGTGCTAGTGCAAATCAAGGGGTGAGTGCAGCCTAGTCTTGTAAGTCTCCTTCTGTACAGCCTTCATTTTTGCTGCCCTGCTCTAGACTCTTTACATCTCAACTATGTCTCCTTTGGAGTTGAGGCTATGAAAAGGGGAGGCAGTGTCCAAGGGTCCTTTTATTCTGTAGAATCCCATCATAAAATGTTTGCTATGTTAGTTTTTGTCCTCATTTTCATACAAACAATAATCCTATAGGTGCAGAACACTGAGGAAGCCACTTCACGGAGCTGTGTCCTCTCCTGTTTAAATAAACTCGGAACAAAAGTGGGGGAAAGCCTCCCTTCATTGGTTCTTTCTGTTTCAGGGGAAAAGGGACTAGAAGTCTTTAGTGAAAATGTTTTTCTACATCCTCATCTTTCTGGCCATCTTCTATTTGTGGTGGAGATGGAGGGCACAAGATGGGCAGAAAATTAGAGATCTCACAGACAAATATATATTCATCACTGGATGTGACTCAGGATTTGGAAATCTGGCGGCAAGGACTTTTGACAAGAAAGGATTTCGAGTTCTTGCCAGTTGTCTGACTGAAGTGGGAGCAGTGGAGCTAAAAGCAGCAACCTCAGAGCAGCTCCAAACAGTGCTGCTGGATGTGACAGATCCAGACAATGTTAGGAAGGTGGCAGAGTGGATTAAAGCTGAAGTGGGTTCAGCAGGTGAGTGACAGAAGATCTGGATTCTTTCCTATGTAGCCTCTCCCCAAGATGTGGCTCCTCCTTGATGCTGGCTTCTTGGAACAACTGGCTTCTCCCCTCTCCTCACATGGGGTGGGTCCTGAGTTCTTTTTAGTGATGCTGGTGTCTCCACCCAAGATGACTCCTCACTGTGCCTGTGACACAAGGTTGCTGTCCCTGGAGAACATTAATTCTACCATTGCTAGTAAGAAGTAATCCCAGCACATGAAAAACAATTAAATACATCAACATAAACCCCAGTAAAGAAATGACAAATCCAAAAATAACAATATAACAGCAGTGACCTTTATTGGGAACAGGAAAATAGGATCTGGGGAAGGAAAGGGTTAGGGTTGACTAATAAGTACTAAAACATGAATAAAGCAACCAATTCCCCACCTCTTGACATGCACAACACCTCCTAGCCCCCAGCTGGCACATCCCAGGTAGGTGGTATGCTGGGGATGAGTTTGAAGATGAGTTTTGTAGCACTGTTGGCTGGCTAAAACAAAAAAAATGGTCCTCTTACAGTGTCTTTACCCCTAGGTGTGGAAAGTCCTGTCATGGCTCCCTGGTCGGGAGTCCAATAGAGGTCTTGGTGAGTTGGATCTCTGCCACTCTGGACACTGGTCTCTGCAGAGCTGGAACTGGCTGACCCATGCACTAGATTCCACAGCAATTCAAAGATTCTCCTTTGTGGGGGGGAAGTTCATCAAAGAGCCCCTAAGTTGTTCTGCTTCTCGCTCTGCTCCTAAACTCAAAACTGAAACAAAAACTGGTCCCTTTGTCTCTGAGTCAGGAACAAAGCCCCATCCAGGGGCTGAGCAGCCCTGGCTCATCACCGACCCATGATATCACTGGCCATGATATGGGCTCATCACTCGTCATGTCATCACTGGTCATGTCATACCATCACTGGCCTATATCACCTCATCCACAAACCACGCTATTGGGCTCAGCAAGAGTTCCTAAACCATTCTATCCCCACCCCTGACTCCAAGCATGCTTGGAAATGGTGTCAGAGGGCTCTGGTAGCTATTATTGTTATAGTCCACAGGGTAGGAACCCTGGGAGGCTCAGTTGAGAGTTCCAGGAGCTGAGCAAACTCCAAGGAGAGGTTACACTTACATGAATTGCAACCGTTTAATAGGCATGGATAAAAACTGCAAAATAGATCCCACTGGATATTTGTTTGAAATTTGTATTTGGCTGTGTTGTCTCTTTTGTATCTCTTTCCACAAATATTCTAGTGGATGGCGTCACTGGAAGGAATTTTTGTGGATACAGCTAATTTTAGGTGAATATTGGAGAACATTATTGGAAAGCAGACAAATATTCACAATGGAAACTGAATTTCATTGACTTTGATGGGACTGTTTATGTGTTTCAAGCTAAGCACATCCTTAAGTGCATTGCTGGATCAGTGCCAGAGTAGTCAGCACTTTTCAGAACGAAGTCCCCTGTTAGAGAACAGAACAGCTTAGAAAAGAGACAACTAAAGGAGGGATATGAGTAAGGTCTATAAAATCATGAATGGTGCAGAGAAAGTGAACAGGGAAGGGTTGTTCACTCCCTCACATGACACAAGAACCAGGAGTCCCCCAATGAAATGAATAGGCAGCAGGTTTAAAACCAACAAAAGGAAGTACTTCTTCACACAACACAGAGTCAACCTGTGGAACTCATTGCCAGGGGATGTTGTGAAGGCCAAAAATATAACTGGGTTCAAAAATAGATAATTTAATGGAGAATAGTTCCATCAACATGGCTATTAATCAAGATGGTCAGGGATGCAACCCCAAAGCTCTAGGTATCCCTAAGCCTCTGACTGCCAGAAGCTGGGAATGGATGACAGGGAATGGATCACTCGATAATTGCCCTGTTCTGTTCATTTCCTCTGAAGCATTTGACACTGGCCACTGTCGGAAGACAGGATTCAGAGATAGATATAGCATTGGTCTGAACCAGTATGGCCATCCTTTTGTTCTTTAACTATACTGTGAGAGCTATGTGCAGAATTAAAAGATTTTTAATATTGAATACTCACAACAAACTGCATCATTTTCAAACAGGAAAAGCGACATAATTCATTGAACAAATTATTCACTTACGTATTAATCACCTAGATCGGTTATTTATCCAGCCATAAAATAATATTTCATATGCAACCCCACATTAACTAGCCAGAGGCTACCTTCATAGGACCCAGTTCTGATACTGTTACTCATGTTAATTGATTGATTGCTTTGATTTCAATGGGGCCACTGGTGGAGTAAAAGCACTACTCAGAATTAAGATAAAACAGAATCTGGTCCTTTGAACCATGCAGCCTGGAACTTGCAACATGCACCTTCCAGGCTAACCTCCCTCTCTCCCTTTTTAATTGCTTTTACAAATTGTTTTGAGGTTGAAATTTTCAGTGTTTGGTCTAAACCCAAAGGTGATTTTTTTTCTGTAATGTTGGAGGAATATCCGTTCAATTGCTTTTGAGTTTTGTGATGATACGAAAAATACACTTTCCCGTGTCAATATCAAACTTTCAACTCACATAACTCAAATGATGAAAGAACAAAACTTCAGACTTATCTTGTTTGAAAGTCTTCACTGAAATGTAAAAAATAATCCAAGTTTGAAAATATCAGTTCAGGATTTTTAAAGTTATGAATCTTTAAAGCTGGCAATTTCACACCTGTGTAATAGAAGAATTTTTTGGACACATTTCCAAAGAGAAACCTGAGCTAGGCTCTCAGAAACTCAGGTCTAAGGGCAGCTGAGTTAAGAAAGCAAATAGGCCAGAAGCTCCTAGAACTAGTAGAACTACAAATCTGTTATGCCAATTTTAATACCATCACCTTTGTTAGGTGGTGATTTATCATATTACATAGCTGTGACTAAAGAGAAGCCAGGATATGGGAGCTCCTTTGGGGAATAAATATTTTCTGGATGGAGCACCCATACAAAAAAGATGCCTAAAACAGTCCTGTAATTCAACTTTAACTGCTCGGTCAATACAGAAATAGATACAAGAGAAGCCATGAGTAGAGAGTCTACAGAATGACTGCGAGATTATTGTAACTAGGAGATGCAAGCCTTCCACTACAATGAAATCGTGAGTGGGGGACACATGATATTGATGTTTCCCATTTATTGTGCTCTCAGCTGTTTTCAAAAAGATTGACTTCAATTTTGGTTGCAAGTCTAGGTCTCTTATATTATCCAGACCAGCTCACCCCACCCTGATATTCTGGATAGTTTACTTTTAGCTGTGTCAAAAACATTATAACTCCTTGGTTTCTAACACCTCACTGCCCCCCAGACTTCCAAAGCCCCCAGATTTCCCACCCGCCCACCTTCAAAGGTCATAAAAGGAAAATGTTAACACAGTTTGTGAAGTGGCCTGGAAAGAGTGGTGGTGAAATGCAAGCATCAGGTAAAATGGTGAAGGCTGCAGGAGATCTAGAGGTCCCTGCCCATCTTGTAATCCGTCTGGTTCTCAGACAGTTCTCGATGAGTTCTCAGCCGGTTTGGCTCCTCTTTATGTTACATAGATGTGAATATTTGCTTCCTAAATCACTACTTTAATTTTTTTTGTTTGTTTCTGTGCAGGTCTGTGGGGGCTGGTCAACAATGCGGGGATTATGGGACCATCAGCGCCGACAGATTGGTTGAATATTGAGCACTTCAGAGCACCAATTGAAATTAATTTAATTGGCCTCATAAATGTTACATTACATTTGCTTCCCTTGGTAAAAAAGGCCAGAGGGAGACTAGTAAATATATCCAGCACTGGAGGCCGCCTGGCAGTCTGGGGGGGTGGCTATTGTCCTTCCAAGTTTGGGGTGGAAGCATTTAATGACAGTTTAAGGTACAGTAATGTTAATTTTGAGGAAATAATACATTTTCGATAATGCTGAGAGACTTGATAGTGAGTTAGTACCCAGCAGAGGGGTGACTGTCATTTCATGCTAGTTGGGGAGTCTAGCTAAGAATTAAGAGGCCTTATTGGGTCTGATTCTCATTTACACTGAGTCTAGATGACTGCAGTACGCATTGCAATTGGCATAATTTAAAATGCAAGATCACTTATAAAGTGTAGGCAGTCCCAGAAGCGCTATCCTGAGGAAACACCTGCCAGATAGTTGCATGTTATGGTTAAAGTTATCCTAACAAAGTTGGGGTGCAACTATTGCTTTTTCCTCAAGCCTCTTCAACTAAGTAGGTGTGCTTTTCTCAGTCATTTAACCCTGATTTTTTGAAGGTAGGGTTTTTTGGGGGGGGAGGGTGTTATTTGTGATTGTTTTTTAAACAGGGCACAGCAAGATATTCCAGAATGCCTGGACTAAGAGCAGAACTTCATGTAATAGACAGACAGTCTTATGGATGGGTGAACCAACTCAGATAAAAGAAGCAATGATCCATATTTTTGTTTAAAACTAAAACAAAAGGCAACTTTTGAAGTTTAAAATGTGTGTGTTTTTGTAGCCTTGTATGTATGGCCCCCTTTGTGTATCACTGCAAAGGACTTCAAATAAATAAAAACAGTGGCTGCTTCCCTGTGACCTCTACACACTGGCCCACTACTAGATAACACTTACTTATAGTTTGATCTTGGCCTTCCCAATATGCACAGTGAGCTACAGAGATAGGAAGAGAACATGAGTGCAGATATAAATACATCAGCTATTAACAATGCTGTCTAAAATAGCAATGACATCCTTAACTGGCTGTTTCTGCAGACGGGACATGAAAGCTTTCGGAGTTAAGGTTTCTTGCATTGAACCTGGGCTGTTCAAAACTGGACTATCCAATCGAAAAAAGATCATCGAAGAAAGGGAGGCCATTTGGAATCAACTTCCTCCTGCCATTAGAAAACAATACGGAGAGGGGTATGTACAGAAAGGTGAGACATTACTTGATTATTTTGTATTGAAGGGCCCATGTCATTTGCAGCATCACGATCCTTGGAAAATGGCCCAGACTTTTCTGATTTACAGTGAACCTCTTTCTTCTGAAATTTGACATAAAAATGTAAGCTTAAAATGCTAGACGTCGTAGAATGACTGTGCACAAAATAATCATTATTTTGTTCCTTCTGCCCATGATAGTGCCTACGATTTCATCTGAGTTTTGAATGTTCAGCTTGGCATGTGACCCTTAAACAACAAACATGCATAGACACATACCTTTGACCCAAAGATACAAGCAGAAACAAATGATAGGGGAGGGAAGCGATGTGTGTGTCTTTCCCACTACTACCAGTTTTTGGTAATTCAAATAGTCCAAGGACAAACCTTCTTTGCTCCTATTAGATACTATGGTGATGGAACCCATGGAAAAAACCTAAGGCCTCATTCTGGCAATAGGCTCTGCATGGACAGATCCCTGCACCTGCAGAAAGCTCACTGCAGGATCAGCTCCTCTGATAGATAGATTATTTCTGAATCCATCTTGAAATGGGATCTGCTTATCTGATAACCCTTGGAACTTCCCTACACTCTCCTCCCCTAGTTCCTTTCTCTGCAGCTGCCTTTTGTATCTTCTCCCACCCCAGTGAGCCAGATTCACTGCTGGCATCAGCAGGTGTGACTCCACTCAAGTCAATGAAGCTGCACTGAACCTGGCACCAGAAATGTCTATGTCCCCTTCAGTTCTACTTCTCTTCCTTCTGAGCAAATGACTAATTGACTTTCCTCAGACATCATAAGCCAGGTTCTGCCACCCTTGCTCAGGTTAAGTAGTGCCCTACTCCACAAGTGAAATCAATAGGAATATTCAGGGAGCAAATTACTATTCAGCTTGAATAAGAATGGCCAGACTTGGCTTTTAATATGGACCGCTTTTCCTCGTTGGCTTGGGGAGAACAGCAAGTGCCATTTGGCTCAGTCATGCCAGAATTGAAAATCAAAGTAACCATCACAAATGCACGCTGAGGAAATGGGATAGAATTCGCTTTCCTTTCCTTTAGGTCCTGCCACTAAAATGAAGCCCTCGTTGATTTTTTTGCAGATGCAGCAAGGAAAGAAAAGCTGGTTCAGATGCTTCAGAACACAAACCTCTCACTGGTTGTGCAATGTATGGAGCATGCTCTAACAAGCATTAATCCTCACTCACATTACACTGCAGGCTGGGATGCTAAGCTTCTTTGGATCCCCCTTTCAAGCATGCCTGCAGCAATACAGGACTTTGTACTCCTGAGAAACAAAACAGAGCTTGCGGACCCAACTGCAGGGTGAATTCTCCTCCTCTATTTACACTTTCCCATTCAAATGGGGATGGCCCAGCTGTCTGAGTCAACAAGGACCAGCCCTTTATTTTAGCCCTGTGCCTGCTGAGCCAAACTGAGCCTGACACCTATTTTTTTATATTTCTAACAGTTTTAGAGTGTCTGTTTCTCAAATCTGTGATACATATTATAGCCATATTTTTAATCTTATGTATAAGTCAGGCCACATTTATCAAAGAATCAATAAAAAATGGAAAGGTTGCAAAGAAGTGACTGATCCTTCATGTGTCATCTAGCTTTAAGTGCATAAAGCGTTAGGAATTGGGCCAAAAATCACCAGCTACAAACCTTACAATATTTCATGTAGGATTTTTCTTTATTCTGGAAAATATGAACTAGAGAGGCCAAAATGACCAGTGATTTGGGGGGCTCACCTTGTGAAACCTCAAAGATGCCAGATTTGCAGTCAGTACCGAGTACCCACACTCAAGTTGGGCACTTAGTAACTTCTGAAAAATGTAGGCCTCAGTCTTTCGATGAAATTATTTCCAGGCAAAGAGACGACAACCTTGGTTTTGCTAAGTGCTGAGTGACTCCTGCAAGGGGGCTTTAACTTGTGTTAAAGTACATGGGAAATGAGGGTACATAGTACATGACAGGAGGAGCTCAGTATTTTGCAGGATTGGGCTCCTTTCGAATTAGACATGACCAGAGGGCTCCAGAACAGCACAAAATTACCTCAAGTCATAACTGTTTAGTGGTTTGCCCAGAAAGTGGTTTCCCATTGGGCAGAAAACTGGCCAGTGGCAAAGCCAAACACTTTCTTTGGCCTGGTGAGTTATTGTGACATGACTTGGCTAAACATTAAGCCACCCAGTGCCTGTCTAAATATTGCCGGTTTTCAATTTAACTTCTCTGGAGCTTGCAAGGTATGACTCTGCTTTCTGACTGCAGCTTGTATTTAGTCATTAGTGTGTTGAGTTCATTTATATTTTGCATGAACAGAATTGTATGGTTGTTATTTCCTATTAGAACAAATTTGAGGTGTGCTGTACATATGCCTGTGGCTTAGCTATTCTTATTGCAGTGAGTATTAGCGGGCCTGCTATTGTAGATTTCTTTTAAAAATATTTGTACTCATGAAGGCAAAGTGGTGGGAAAGCAAACTCTTTTTATTTAAATCATAAGCCAGATAGCTGCAATGTGAGCATCCACATGTTGCCACCCCAATAACCTTAGCCTAGGCCTGGAAAAGCTGCTGGTTTTTTAAGCTAGAGGTCAGTCGGTCCTTATGTTAGCCAAGTCTTCGGCCTCTACAAAACTGAGAGCACCAGATTGTGCTTATGTGCTGCCTGTCCTCAGAACTGAACTGAGATCTTTAGATTCATATCACTTAGGAGACTTGAATTCTATTTCCAGATGTTAAAGGAAAGTATTTTATACACGGGCAGGTCTACACTGCCACTTAAGTCGATATAACTTATGTCACTCAGGGATGTGAAAAAGCCACCCCCCCTTGAGCGACGCAAGTTACCATGACCTAAGCGCCGTCCACATCGGCGCTATGTTGTCAGGAGACACTCTCCCACCAACATAGCTTCCGCCTCTGGCAAAGGTGGAATAATTATGCCAATGGAAGAGAGCTCTCCCGTCAGCACAGAGCATCTTCACCAGATGCACTATAGCAGTGCAGCTGTGCCAGTGTAGCACTTCTGGTGTAGACTAGCCCTGAGGAAACCAGACCCAGGCTGTTGGAGTGATTAAGGAAGCAAAGAAAATGAGTTGTATCTAAACAATAGAAATAATCCTGAATACATCAGTGCCACTGCTCTGAACTTCATTATTTATATAGCCAACTATACCTGAGTTTGCATCAGTTCCTTCAGAAGCTCATTCATACTGTCACCTGCTGTGATATCACAGATCTATGAAATCTGAAAGTGAAAGTAAGGAATAAACAGAGTTTTGGGAGTGGATAAGATGATCCTAGATGAGATCCTAAATGTGCCTTATGTAATGTGGCTATTTGAACAGCTGGCTCTTCCCCAAATATATTATACTACATCATATAAAGGGCCAGATTCTGCTGTCAGCAACACCATTGTAACCAAACTCCTCATTTACTCCAGTGTCAATGAGAACAGTATTTGGCCAG